AGGGACAGGTCAGCCGAAATTGCTTAGGCAGAAGGCGACCTCTTAAACACATCATGCAACAACAACAACAACAACAGTGCCATAACTAAATTACAAACAGCTCGCACCAAACTAAACAGCCACCTTCAAACACTAAAAATACACGCAACAGGCACATGCCCACACTGCACTTAAAAAGAAACCACAGAACATGCACTCATCCACTGCCCACACTACAAGACTCACAGAACAACACTCCAAAACACACTAAACTCCGAGTTTACTCACTCTTAAACCCACAAAATAACAAATCCAACTTTAAAGCCCTAGGCAAATACCTATATTAACCGAATATAACCCCCAAATAATCAAAACAAAAATTATTTTAAAAAATAATAATTAAAAAATAAACAACTCACCCAACACTCACACCTCCCTTAGTAAAAAAAGTTGGTCTATATTAAATCTGTCATTACCTTGTTCATCGACACCTGTTTCATATTGTTATATTGTATTTTTAATCACTTCTTTAGTTTTTTCAACAAAAGTTTTGTCGCTCAGCAGATTAAATTTCTAATAGCCTTGATACTATTAAGTTTTAACGAGATCCAGTGTATAGAGTGATCTGATCTATAAGCAAGGTCTACACCAACTTTATCTACTGATTTTTCAAGGTCTCTTGACAAAAAGAAGTAATCTAATCTGGCTTGTTTTATGGGTTTGGTTTGTCTCCACCTATATCGTCTCTCGTCTGGGTTCATATCTCTCCAAGGGCAAAAAAAAGATTGTTCATCTATTCAATCTAATATTTTTTCTCTGGCTTTTGGGTTGTTTACATTTTTATTGTTTTACAAATCAATGTCTGGGTTTTGGATAAAATTCCAATCTCCACAGATGGAGCAGTGATCTGACTCAAACTCATTGACAATAGCTGTTACTTTTTTTAAGAATGCTGGTGTGTGGGTATTTGGACCTTACAGGTTTATTAAAGTAAATGTTTTTTCTCTTAATTGCACTTTAAGAGCAAGAAAATTACCAACTTCATTATCATGAACTTCTTTTAATATTTTAAATTTAAAGTTTTCTTCAAACATGATAGCTACCCCTTGGGCATTACTTTTATAACAACCAAATATACAATGTTTTGATGCCTATTCTTGTTTAATTTTTTTTTCTATGTTCTAAGTGAAATGGGTGTCCTGCAGGCAATATATATTTGCTTTTTGCTTTTTCAAATTTTGAAAAACATCTTTCATTTTTTGTTGTTTTTCAGGCCTTGGCAGTTTGTGCTGATTATTATTATATTGTCAACCATTATCTGATCTTGCATTGTCATAATTTTGCATGTAAACTTAATGTATGAGAGTATGTTGTGTACATGGTATATTCTGTAACAAGAAAGGAATGAAAGAACAAAAAAGTAAGAAAGAGATAGGAAACCAAAAATACACTTACTCACAAGTTAATATGGTCTACCATGATGCAGAGTTAATGTTTTTCGAGAATCTTTGACATTTCTTCATATCAACATATCAAGGAGGTTATACCCATGGATGTTGTTCCGAATGTCGATTAGGTGAGGTAAAATGGGGTGTTAAACGTCAGGCATTATTACACTTATATAGCAACATGTGTGTGTGTGTGGGGGGGGGGGGGTCCGGACTGATGCCGATTTATAGTGCTAGCCCACTGAGATGCCATGCAGCAGATTAACATAAATAACCCACTCAGACACACAGTATAGTATAGTATGACTCCTAGACAACAAGTCCTTGTTGTGGCCCCTTAATGCAAAGCACCAGGCAGGGTAACAACAAGTACCATCTTTTTAACGCCTTTTGGTATAACGTTGGGGTCAAACCCCGGACCTTCCGCTCTCCAGGGCCCGGGATCATGAAAGTGCTCTTAGCTCAAATTTTGCTAAGCACAAATTTTGTCTTAAGTTTTTAAGATTTTGCTTAGCTAAGATTCGGTCTAAGACTGGATCGTGAAACGGTCTCAGCAAAATCTTAGCTAAGTTTAAGTCTAAGACCGTCGTCATAGGGATACGCGCACGTAATATCGCACTACCGTAATCATTGGATGTCGAGGTTATTTTTCTGGCGCACATTTTCCTAAGATCGGAAAAGAGAAGGTTGTGCGAGAATTGCGCTCACTCGGCACTGGATCTACCTCTGGCTATAAAATTACGCAGTGATGTAGAATATTAAATTTCCTATCTGATGGTGTAAATTTAACTGTAAATATTAAACCGGTTTGAAAAAAAGACACTGCTAAGTTTTGTCTGGGAATTTATTCTGCGTCGAAAAACAGGAAATTTCTCCGCTTTTTAGTGTACACCAATAAAAGTACTGTGCGACAAAAAAAATTATTTAGCAGCTTTACCGAAACTGTGAGCGAACAAAATACTGCATAACATTTGAACGACATAAATATATATCAAATGGAGTTATATGAGTTTATATAACGACATAAATTCATTGCAAAAAATAGCCTGCCGTAAATGACGAAAACTGATTTACCGCTATGAAGTCAAAAGGCGACAGAGAGGTTACACTCGTTCAAAGGAAAGGGGGCATAACTCCGCTATGCTTAGCACTAGTTTATTGTAACTAGGGTCACTTGGTGAGAATTAACTGTGGGTAAGGACAGTGTATTTTCGTGGTGTTTTGTTCACGAGGAACCAAACTATTCCGATACAAATATCAATATTGAAACTGTATACGTTTAGGCATAAAAAACCCATCAGAAATGATGAAATTACACTTCATAAAAAATGAGTGATAGCGAAATGGATGGCCCTATGTAAACCATAAATTAGTCCTTAGATTCCAACATTCTCCTGATTGTGCAAGTGTAATTTGACTAATGTTGCACCTATCTAATTAGATCACTAGCAGTATCATCAAATGTAATAATTACTAAGAAAATGACACACTTCTATTTGACGTCATGGCTGCTTGTTTGTCTTTGATAAAGTCGGAGAAAGACGACACTGGTATTTTGATTGATATATATCTCCCCTAATTTTCGTTCATGATATGGAAAAAGTCCATGTGTTTAAAACGGAATTTGACGCTCTTTCGACACAACATAAAAGTTTACCATGTAAATAATGTCTTGAATAGATAAACAATTCGATAATGTACAGTGTATCTTAATTGGACAAGACACGCACCTGTTTGGCATCAATTTTACGTAATCAAGTACTCAAAAAATTATTTCAAACCAAACAAAATTATTATTCAATATTTGACATGTATTTGTTCATTATTATGTAATTATTTCTCATCATGTTGTCTCAAAATTATACCATAAAAGATGCGAAGAAAGCTCTCTTGGTATAGAATTAACAGGATAATCGTATAAGGATAATCGTCCACCAACGGGGTACATGGCACGGGTTATATTTTAAAACTTTTAACAATTCTTGTAGAAATATAGTAAACAGTTTAATATCTTAATTGTGGTCACAATATTTGATAAAGGATGAACCCCATTGATTATATAATGCAAAACTAGAGAAATAATTCATAAGTCGTTTGTGACTAGCGCGCACCTGGCGAATCGTTAGATATCACTGTTTTGTATATCAAACGGCATAAAAAAAATTCCAAGACAAGGACAATTCTTCTAGAAATGTGTGCATATATTTTAACGAAAAATAATATCAATTTTCTTTAAGTTATATTTTCAGTTATGTTATACAGCTATTCGTGGACACTGTTTATATGAACTTTTTACTATGACTATGACTATTACACTCCCTAGAAATACATACATGTTGCAGTTGCATTTACATTTCATCTAGTATCACTTGTCCAAAATAAAGAAATATCGTATACGACACTATAAACTGATCAATTTCATATGTAAACATTGTTCAAACAAACAGGATATTATTAAAGGTTCATACATGTTGTGGCCTATATCTACTTATGATATCATATTGAACATTGATTAATATCCAAAGTGAAATTAAATGTGTGAAAAAGTTAGTTTCATGATCCCGGGCCCAGGTGGATGCTCTACCACTAGACCACAAAGGTAGTCTGAATGTCGATAAGCTTCTACTGATGGATGTCGATCTGAATGTCGAATAGGTTCGACTGACTGGTGTTGATCCGAGTGTTGAATAGCTTTGACTGAATGATGTCGATCTGAATGTTGAATAGTTTCAACTAACTGGTGTTGATCAGAGTGTTGAAATAGGTTCGACTGACTGTTGTGGATCCGAATGTCAAACTGAGTCAACCAATGGATATAGATCCAAATGTCAAATAGGTTCTGCCAGTGGAGCTTGATCCGAGTGTTGATTCCAACATCGAATGAGTTCTACCGGTTGATGTCAATCCAAAGGTTGACCTGAATGTCGATTGGATTCAAATGACTGACATCGATCTGAAGGGTGATGCCATTGATCTGAATCCTGATGACATCGATCTACCTAACAATCTTCATTAGATGTTGATCCGACTGGTGATGTCGAATCGAAGGGTAGGTACGTGTAGACTCTCTCAGTCCATTATACTGTCTTAATATGTTGCAGTTGTCAGAGGAAGATTGCAGAAAAAATATATATATATTCTCTGTAAACTCAAAGGCGTCCCCACACTGTGGGGATGAGAAAGAGAATGGGTAAGCCTGATACACCAGGTGATCATTCCGTTAGGGTCCTTTTGCATGTGAATGCAATGGTGCATATTGCTTTGTTTGTGTGCGGTGACCATGGTGATGAATGGGATGTAGTTGGGTGTAACTGTTTTTGAAGCTGGAAACTCTTTTCTGAGACATTTCCACACCAGGATTGAAAGAAGGGGGAAGAAATGCATAGTGTGCGCTGGGATAGTATTGTTTGAATCTTGAATTTTCTGTTTTGGGGATCAAGGGTATTGAACATATTTTCCAAAGCATATTGTTTCATTTTCCTGAAATGTAAATGCACAGGGGTTCTTTTAAAGAAAGAGTGTGCAAGTAATTTACAAGAAGACAGAGTGGATACACAGGACCAACTAGATTACCTTTATAGCTTTTGTTTCTCGCTCTTTATTCTCGGACCGATTTTCATTTCTCTTCTTTTTCTTGGTATTTCGACCAGTAGTATCAATATTCTCTGTGATAGTGCTCTCCCATGTGCTCTGGTTTTTCAGCAGGGGATTGTCGTGATATTCACGATGGATCTTCTGCTTCAGATCATGGCTGAATTTGGAGGAGAAGCCTTCTTTTACAAACATTTCATGTTTCAACAGGTCAGAGCAAGTTGGCCTGTCATCAGGATCTCGACAGAGACATTGCTGAAACAGATAAGAATCCATGTATCTCATTAATCAAAACTCACAGAACATCAAGCCAAATAATGGTTCCATAAATGTAACTAATAAAAGTTTTCTGTTGAATGCACATTGTGTAACATTGTTGCAATACACACCAGTTAAATTCAACTCTCTTAATTAGCCTCATACACCTTCTAAGGAGAATATACCACCTCTAGTGTATTGAGTGTCTGCCCGAAGAGCAGGAATTCAGTGGTTTATTCCCTGTCTGTGCCATACGAAAAGTTGATAAAAGACTTCTTGATGTACTTCTTGTTACCCTGCCTGATACTCAGCATTTAAGGGGTAAAATTTAGTCAAAGTGCAGAGGCCAACATTTGAAATACTGCAAAAACACAAAACATGTTTTGAGCCCCAATAACTACAGTAAACTATGTTTATAATGAACTGACCGTTATAATATACTTATTTCTAAGTCTTGGACATTTGTTGTATATATGCTCTATAGATGCTTATAACAAACTATGGCTATTACGAACCAAAATTAGTGGTCCTGTTGTGTTTGTTATAACCACAGTTTACTGTACACATATACCACTTACAAAATACCATATGCTTGTTCATGGGAACAAGCATGAGAAGATGATTACGTGGTTTCGGTGAAGATGTGGAGATGTGCAAAAATGAAATAAAGGTCAAAATTTGAAATAATTTTATAAAAAAACCTGGAACACATGTGTTGAGCCCAACTACAAACAACACTTGAATGAAGAAGTTTCAGCTTTCAGTATGGTCAAGTGCAAAGATAAAATCAAGTTAAAAGTAAAAATAATGCAAAAAAGACCAACCCCACTATGTAACTACACTTGTACACATTTGGTGGGATTAGGCATGTGACATTTCACCTTTATTGGTCAAGTGGTGTCTGAGGAGAAGATGTTTATAATGGATGACTCATCATTTTTTGTCTATACCAATATGACAATATGATCACAGGCAGCTATACTGAAAACGAAAGTTCCTGTGACATTGAATAAGATTTAATGCAAAGTTATGTTTTTTACCAAATCTGAAACAATTTTGGTTTGCAACAGATAAAAGACTCCTGTAAGTGTTCAAATGGTTTAATTTGCCATACTGACTTCAGAAAATGCGTGATTTCATAAAAAAACATGAACATGCCAAAATGTCAATTTACAAATCAATAGGGTGTGTGTCCACCTCTGGTTGTGACGCAAGCAACACATCTTCGTCTCATGGAATGGACCAGGCGTCGCACAAAGTCCTATGGGATATCTGTCCATAACTGGTGGAGCAAGTTTTGAAGTTCCTGGAGTGTCTGTGGAACACGTGGTTGATGTTGAAGGCGCCGATCCATCTTATCCTACATGTGCTCGATTGGTGAGAGATCAGGGGAGCGAGCCCGCCAGGGGATGACATTCACCATGTTTTGTTGAAGAGCGTCCTGAACAAGTCGAGCAATATGAGGCCTGGCATTGTCATGTTGAAAGGTAATGCCTGGGCCATGACGACGCAAAAACAGCCGATGATCTCGTCACGGTAGCACTGTCCATTGAGATTCCCTCTCTCTATCACTATCAAACGGGTCCTCTGTCTTGCTGTAATCCCACCACATACCATACCGCTGCTAAACCTGAACCGATCTTCTTCCATGACACAATGATTGACGTAACGTTCACCTCCATGTCGGTACACTGGAAGCTGTCTATCGCTTTGGCTGAGGTGAAAACGAGACTCGTCAGTGAATAGAACTTGTCCCCACTGCATGGCCATCCAGCGTAGACGCTGTCTGTACAACTGTAGACGTGCTTGACGGTGATTTCCTGTAAAAATGGGACGTCTGGCGGGTCTTCTGGCGACAATCCCTGCACATCTGAGGCGACAACGTACGGTTTGTAAAGATATTCATGGAAGGCCAGGGATGCTTCTTGCAGTCACTGTTGCTGGCTGGAATCGATTTCTTAGGTGTGTTGTACGAATCCAGTTGTTTTGTCGATTACTGGTTACACGTGGCCTCCAATTCCAAGGATGGTCTCTGACTGCATTCGTCTGTTGCCAACGTTGCCATAAACACCAAATGGTGTTTCTGTGGACGTTAAATTCTCTTGCAACATCACGTTGACTCGATCCTGCTTCAAGCATACCAATGGCTGCAGATGCTCATTTTCGGACAGGCGTGGCATTTCGTAATGTTGAATAATTTCGTAATTTTGTTGTTTTTCTGAGTGGTTGTTGTCAGCACGATGCTAATCAATGCATATGGAATCCCATTAACGCACATGTTTTAATACCCCTTCTTGGGTAGTGAAATGCATGGGGCTTGCATAAAAGTCAACTTTTGCATGGAATGCATGCTTTTCTGTAGCAGTTGCGTTCTTGTGATTTGATTCCATACATGTACTACAATATTAAAAACCAAACTTTACTTGTTTGAATATTGAAATATTGGTGTCACAGGAACTTTCGTTGTTGAGTATATATTTGAATTATTAAATTTTCGTTGTGTTCGTTGAAATTCATGCATTCTGAGGAGCTGCACTGGTCACATGTTTTTGCATTCATTTTCCACTGAATGTAAAAAATTAAGCCATGCCCACCAAAACGGACTACTTTCATCACTACAGAATGTTGGAGAAACTATAGTCAAGGGGAATTCAGTTTCTACGCACCTGAAGTTATCAGGCCCAGTAACATTGTAGTGTTATTTTTCAGTATCTAACATATGAATATACCACCATCTTCCACACTCACAGTAAACACTGGCACCTTGAAACCTGCTCCACACGTTTCATGTCCTTGGGATTAATTTCTAACGAGCATTTTGTCAAATTGTGTCTTCCAGTTCTCAGGAAACTAATGCTTGAATCTGGTGCATCCTGACCATGTCATTTGAAACAGCCACCTAATATTCTCCCTTTCCTATTTGTTCTGATTCGTAATAGCTGCAGTTTTTCTAACCTCTTGCCTTGATTGACAGGTCCTATGAACTTTGTTTGATTTACTTTTCACTGACTTTGTGGGTGTGTTAAGTGATGTGCTTAATTCATTTATGTCATGTCACAGGATGTATTCCTATGCTTGGAATGTTTATCAATCTCGTCATATTTGTCGGCTTTGATTTATGTTTTTTATTAAACTATTGTCCATAACACATGTTTTCTGTGTTAAATTTAATTATTAGGATAATAATATGCTACACTGATTCATATGCCCTCTGGCCCTTTGAGAAGAAGAATTCAAAATTTCTTGTCTTTAATCAAAGATGGCAACCTGGTGTCCATATTTAAATTCCTATCTGGATACCTTGAACAAACTTGAAACACCTTGTAGTAAAAAACATCCACACAAATGTTTAGCTTAATCCATTAATCCACTTCAAGGAAGAAGTCAAATATGTAAAAGGCTTATGGATGCTGACAGCGAAAATGGAGGATTTGCAGCAACAACAGGTGAGCTAAAACAGAAACAAGCCCAATCCCAGCCTTTTCATGAATGTCCCAAACCTTTTCCACCAGAAACACAGATCATGCACTATTTTAACTGTACCAGATAAGGTGACAGCTCTCCTCACCAATATCTATCAATGTTCATCCTTGAGAACTTATGTGATCAAATGCAATACAATATACTCCTATGCCTCAAGCTACCTTCAATCATAAGCACTTCTGGTTTAATCTAGTCAATTCCGGATTCAGCAAAACAAATTCCATAACTGTAGCTACCTTAATAACCAAATAATAAGCACTTTAGATGTAATTTCATCGCTTTTGGTTTTGGAAAAGAAATGTCTAATGTAAGACAAAATTAAAACAGAAAGTCCTGTACTTGTAGAGCTCTACATTAATAAGACAACACGTCCAAGCAAAGATCTGGGGATGTAAGGTCCATTCTGTTGCCACTATTCTCCCCTGGCAAGAAAGGCTGTCTGCAAGGACGTTCATTTTCCTGGGTATATGTCTCACTCCCATCCGGCAATTGAAGGAGTCTGCCAAGGCAAACAATCATATCGTCTCCATCATCAGGGAGCTGGAGCTGGATCTGGTTCCTCCCAGTTTCTGGATGAAGGCCACTACAGTAGTATAGATGATGGGGGTTCTGGCTCACTTCCACTGGAGCCAGATTTATACCCAATACTGCTACTACAGAGGGAATTTTTTATGCAAAAAATGATGATGCGATTGTATTGGCCTTTGTATTAAAAGAATCATCAATATTAATTAATAATGGATACAATTTACTATAGTCAAGGAAGATATTGGAAAGGTATAGGAGTAATACAAAAATTAGCCACTGCTGCTAAGGTATCTAAAGATGTAGCCATGGATTGGCTAAAGAAACAAGTGATGTGGCAAATATACTTACCGGCACCGCGTTATATACCGAGGAAGGAGTTTGATATTTTTACAACGAATGAAGCTCATCATTGTTTGTTCCCCATGATAAGGTAAGACGCAAAACATATAAATACGCTTTAACTGTAGTGGATGTGGCTAGTCGCTACAAGGAGGCTGAACCATTAACCTCGAAAGATTCAACAGATGTAGCTAATGCACTGAGCCGTATATATAAACGCGGACCACTGAAATGGCTCAAGCTATTTCAAGTAGATCCCGGTCGCGAGTTTATGGGATCAGTAACTAAACTATTAACAAAGCACCATGTTGAAATCAGGCGTGGTGAAAAAGAGGCCCACCGTAGTCAGCTATCGTTGAAAGATTTAACTGGACATTAGCGGAACGTTTGTTTGGATATCAGTATGGGATTTAAATGAAATCAGATAGATTAAGATCAATCGAATGGGTGACACGATTATCAGCTGTTGTATCAGAGCTAAATAATGAAGTAACGAGATTAATCGGAAAGAAACCATCCGATGCGATTAAAATGAAATCTGTGACTTCCGAATCTTCAGCACCGAGGAGAGGCAAAGAACAAAAACTTCCGGATAAAGTAAGCGTAAGATATTTATACCAGCCCAGTGAACTCGAAGGAGGCCTATG